ATAAGAGACAGCCCACGGCCCGCGGAAGGGTCGGTGGCCGCGACTCGTGTCACGGAGGCTGGAGGCGGCCTGCAGGCAAAGGCGCGTTTAATGCAAACGGAAATACATGTCGTCACGCAAACCCTGCCAGGCTGCCAGGTGACGTTTCAAGTCCGACACTCATAAAATACAAAGGTAATAGGTCATTGCATCAAGCGAATTTTGTGACAACTCCTGAGGGCTGCTGGCCGCTTCACAGGCAAGGAAGTCATCATCCTGCGACAGACAGGCAGGTGCTCATCTACAACCCTTGTCTCCAGGCTGGGATAGCTCTAAAAACAAGGCAGAAAAGCATGAAGAGCTCATACCTAATTGCATGTATATCATGCTACACGTCCTTTGTTCTCCCCTTTACCGATGAGGAATATATAAAAGCAGTTCTGAAGCTCTTGGTGCTATCTCTTTCATGCGCTCCTCCCAGGCCTTCATAGGTCTGGACAACCTGGTCTGGTGTCTAGTTACAGGAATCTCGACCTCAAGAATCAAACAAGCAAAAAGATCCATCTATTTTCACTGAGCACAGAATGAGTTATATACACTCATTGCATCATGGTATGAATAGGTGAAGAGTAAACAAAACACTGCTGACTAGCTAGACTTTTCCCTCCACACTATCTCAGGAAACAGCTAAAACATGAAATCAGTAAGAGGGACAAAAACTGCTTGCTCTCACTGAATTTCAGAAATTTAGAAGGTTAAACTATTAAGAACCAAAACAATGTTGCCAAAACTCTTCCAGAAGCCAGCTCTACTAATAGTAGAAAACAATTTAAAAAGTTAAAAACCACCACTCATATTGCTGCTCATTTGTATGAAGTACAGGCTTTACCCAGAAAAAATACTGCTGGGAGATAAATAAATTCCTACTTGATTTCACCCCCCACAACACCTTTTTCAAAAACAACTACGCCTGCTGCATTTTCATCTCGTGATAACAACTTGCCTTTTTTTTTTTCTTTATCAACCATTTAGATAAGTAAAAATAATTGGGTTTCAGATCAATGAGGAAAAAGGTTCTTTAAACAACCAAATCACACTCACTTCAGATTGAAACAAAAAAGGTAATACACCTTCTCTCTTTGCCTGCATTTTTTCTTTTTCGCGTTTCTCTACTTTAGCTTCTCTTTGTAGAATCCTTAGTTCCAGGTTATATTGTAGATCCTGCAACACATAACGAAGGAAAAAGCAAACTTTTCCTTGAAAATGAAACAAATTGCATGAAAATATATATGCAGCCATTTCACAGTTAATTGTTTTTGTTGTTTTGAAATAATTTGACACTAGGTAGCTACATGCTATAGCTTGTCCTGCACAAGCAAATTAGTTACAGCTTTTTTAAAAAAAATTGATTGTAGTGGTTACAAAAATGAACTCTAGTGTGAATGGTGACAATAATATCAGTTCTCCAGTAATGAGATTTACATTGGGATCTAACTTGACCTTCCAGCTACTGAAACCTGCAGGATATTCAGACATGTCTTTATTTCATATCTGCATACGACAATCAGGCCATCTGATGTTTTCTATAGCATGGAAAACAATGCAGCCCAAGCTGTTTTTCACCAACATTTTCACACTGGAGTAAATAAAACCACTTCTATATGTATAAAGCATTACAGTCTTGAATAATCCCATAGAATTTAGATACTGAGGAAAAGGAACACCTTTGTCTAAAGTAAAGTTTCGTACTGGTTCTGGTATATAACAGATGCTGTTACAGTGAATCAAATAGATTTAAATGAATGAAATTTGCATTTTAAGAAGATTAACAGATTATAAGAGGAAGTAAGTGAATTTAAAACAACATGCATAAATGGATACATAATTACCACACGCTCTTGAAATTTAGTAATTTTTTCTGCAGTGGTTCTCTTCCTTTTCTCCTTTTCAGCTTCCTCTCTCCTCACCTTTTCAAGCTTTTCAAGTTCTTCCTTTTCTTTCTTCTGCAAGGTATACCTTTCCAACAGGAATTTCATGTGGCGCTGGCATTCTTTTTGTTGCTTTTTCTCCTTCTCTTCTAGTTTTAATTGTGATTCTTCTTCCATTGCAAATACTGTTGCTTTCTGTTTCTTCCATCCTTTAATTGCTGCTTGTTGGTTTTTTCTCTCTTCTGCTTTTTGGTTCTGAGCTTCTTCATGCTGTAGCCATTCTTCACTGAGCATTTTTTCTGACTTCTTTTTCTCCTTCAAGTTCCTTTCTTTTTCTTGCTGCTGCTTTTCTTTCCACTTAACTGACTGCAAGAGAAAAGCACAGGGAAAAAAAAAAGTTTTTGTGAAAGTTTTACACATTCCTGTTGATTTGGTTGGATGAAAACATATGCTCCAAGGATACACACTGCAGATTACAGTAATTAAAAGTCTACTAAGGGCAAAACTTAAGGTAAGGAAGCATTTATGTCTGCTTTCTCACGTGTTTTTGGGTTTGTTTTTTTTTCCTATTTCATGGATCACACAGGCAGGTTTAATATGTTCCTGCTAAAATTATTTAAGTTATGGCATTCATATTAATTTTGTGTAGTTACAAATGTTGTTGTAATATGCTTTTCTAATGCAAACATATTTCAGGTCTTAAATTTTTTCTTCAAATTAACAATTCCACTTATTTTATAATTCAGATTTTATGTCAGTGTATCTTGAAGGAATCATAATTCTCTATGTCAGTACGGCATAGGTATATTGTCTATATGGTGGGACAGATAGGATCACTTAGTGCTCTGGGATCAGCATCTAAGTTGCTGGACCACTGCCATCAGAAGCATTTATGATACACTTTGGCAATACACAGCTCACTTCAGTGCACTGTTAGATCTACACTTATTGGTAATTCTTGAAGACAAAATATTTTTGGCAAGTTGAGGATGCTAAGGACTTCAGTTATATACCATGAACTATAACAGAAATCCACCTAGCACTACCACCAGAGAAGTGAATACAAAAAATAAGCCCTTTTTCTTAAAGCTACAAAAGCCCTAGAGGGGTTATTTTACCTCGTTCTTTCTTTTGCGTAACATTAGAAATTCTTGATACCATTTGTTATGCTGTTCAATATCTTCTTTTGTTCTGCCACAGAGATATTCAAGGGCTTCATCTATGTAGGACAGCTTTCCTTTGTGTTTTGTCCATACTTTCAGAAAATTTTGATGATCATAATCATCCCAGCCTCCCTGCCACCCTCTTGTTTGCTGAAGAAATCTTTCAAACTCTAATACTTCTTCAGTTAGATGACTTTCCAATGTTTTGTCAGCTGAGACTCTGGCTGATGGTAATTTCAAAATTTTTTCTGTTGAGCTGCCTAATGCCCATAATTCCATTTTTCTCTCAAAGACACTGAGCTCATTAACGGTAGTTTTCTCCTCCTTCAAAAGCTGTTCATATCTGAAAAGAGAACAAACACTGAAATGTAACCAGAAAAATCCAGTACTCCTTGTTCATTCACTGAAAATTAATTTTGGAATTGTTCAATACCACACAAAAGGTATTCTTAAAAGATTAAGAACTGAAATGGTAACACAGATGACAACAAGGTTGTGATGATCCCATAATAAAGCACTACATAATCAGAACTAAGTTACCTTTTTAGTGAAAGCACACATTTATGTCAAACAACTAACTCAATCCCCTCCTGACACCTGTGGAGTGAAAGGGAAAAACCCCCACCCACTTAAAAAAACAAAACAGCACCAACAAAATCCCCACAATCTACTCTCTTCTGCAGGCTTTCTCTGAAAAGCCTTTTCACAGGAAAATTGTGACATTGGATCACTGCAATAACTATATAAGCAGCCTCTCTAAAAGGTTGTTTATCGAGATTCTATTGTTGATAGCTTGAGTTTTGATTTACACACCACAGGAATCACTAGCAAAAGAGTAAATCAAAATAATAGTTGATTAATGCAAAGTTTTCATTGTGTCTTATGAAAGCACTTTCTTGTAGCTGAATAATAAACATACATTTGCCTCTGTTCCTCTTTAAAAGCATTGATTGCATTTTCAACTTCTTCCATCTTTTCCTTGAGCTTGTCAACAACTAAAAAGCAAAAGAAGTAAAGAGCATATAACTTAAGAAGTCTACAGAATTTACCAGTAATTCAGCACTATCCAGAAATGTAGGCACTTGCAAAGACTTCTGGAACACTTTTATTTCAGTCTACAAAAAAGCATGCATTTCCATCTCAAACAGCCTTAAAAGACAGACTGTCATTTATTCAAAAGGTGTGATTTCACAGTGATTTAGCTAATTGGATGCAAATAATGGAAATGTTTATTTCCATTAAACATTTCCATTAAGTCTAATTCTGAGTAACCTTCAACTGATTCATAGAATAAGACAGCCTTATCCTAACGAGTTTCCACTTTTGGTTTTTATAACAAAGCAATTAGTGACTTAAGAAGCACAGTCAACTCTTGGGTCTATACCAGGCTGCAGCAATCCTATTTAACCTACAGGTCACTACTTTTACAAAGCTGACAAAGAAACACTGAAGTAAGACTTTATCCTGTACTGTCAGCAAGCTGCGTTCCTGATGCTGAGAAAGACGGTAAGACAGCTGTCTAGAGAAGATCTGTTTCGCAGTGGTAGAAAAAAAGTTTTAGAATCTGTTTTAAACTAGCACAACATAGTTTAACAAATCATAAACTGAATTGGTACAGTTACAGAATCTAAAACTCTTAGTTCAACTTTCATGCCTTGCTATCTCTGCTGACAGCTTAAGAAGACAATACGGTTTTTTATAAAATAGACACTGAATAAATGAAGTGAGATACATTTTATCCAGTATCAGAAAGCCCTCAGCCAGTAGGAGGACTTCAACCTGAGCTCAACAGGAGGTACCAGCGTATCACAGGAAAATGGTTCTTTCAGTGCCTATTTCCTAAAAGTTTCAGAATAGCCAAACTGAAAAAGTTGTTTGAGCATTTTCCACAGAATATTCCAATTTACACTTCAAGCCATGTGGACAGCTAGAAATGAGTTCCCTGTAGACTCTACTCTGCAACCTCTTACCAGATGGAAGGGAGCTATATCTAAATGGCACTAGAATACTAACTTTATTTTGCATAAGGCAAAGAGTTACATACAGAAAATACCTGACTTTCAACAGCCTGAAGAAACAAACCCATACCACTTCAAAGACAGAGCAAGTTTCTCTGTTTCCACATAAAGCTGCAAGGTCTTTCACCATTTCTTACATTTCTGCATTCTTCTCTTCCCAGAATTCCTGGAAGAGCAGACAGACTGGAGAAGAAATAATTGCAAGTCTGCAGGAGAATCATAAGCCCAGCAATGCAAGAAATGTGTGTATAGAGGAAAACGGTCTTTAAATCTGTCATCATGACTTACATTCTGGTGTAGGCTTCTCATCTTTCAATTGTTGCTGAAGTCTCTTCACATTATTTTGTATTTTTGATAGCTGCTGCAGAATTTTGGCTTCTGTTAAACAAAATAAGGTGCAGATAGTTCTAAGAGTTTGTGCATGGAATTAAATACAAGAACAAAAGCAATGAAGTGTCCAAAATAAACTGCAGATTTCATCTAGAGGACACAAATTCTGACTGATCATGTGAAACTGCAATAACACATTTTAACATGACTGTAACTGCATGGGCCATGTATGTCCCCACATAACATCAACAGATTTTAAAATTCGTAGCTCATATTTGTAATGAGGTCAACAGAATAGCCGTATCTAGATTAAAGCAGGCTTGTTTGTTTGTTTTTTCTTTTTCCAAACCTTTTATCAAGTAACCACAGTTTGGATAATATTGCCTATAGAGATGACACCTCCTCTAGAATTTTGAGGGAGACTCTGACCTAGGCCTCAAAACACTCAGCAATTAAGAGAAATCAAACTTGGAAAGCATATGTGAATGTACAACTACAGCAGGATTTATTTATTTGCTGTGTTAACTAAAGTAGAATGTTTTCATGTACTCCAAGCATGCACTTATTTGTTTTATTACCACTTGGCTCCTCATGAGTCCATAAATACAATACTGATGAGGATGAAGTTCTGGATTCACCTTAGGTACTAAGGAGCTTTATCTTCTATCCTAAAAGATTTGGATTAAGGAATGGATAACAGAGTCCAAGAACTAAACAACATGTACCTAAGACATGACACTACTAGTTCCTGCTGAGAACACATAAAGTGTAAAAGCACATAGGTCATGCTGAAAGACCTGAACATAGTAAATAGGAATTCTGGGGGTTCTAGACCACAGCCTAAAAGATCATACTCTTAACACTCCTGCACATTTCACATGTAGTGCTTTACACCTTTTATCTTTGTCCTCTTTATTATCTCACAACAACCACTGGAACATTTTTGGAACTTTTTGCTCAGTCATTCTTCAGAAATTGTTACTTTCTTAAGGACTGCCACATGTAATGGATGCAGTTAGTTTCCTTAATTAAAAGATGCATGTTAAAACGCATACAAATTTGTAAGGCAAGTGTATATTTAGTTGTCTCTACATGTCCTTCAACTTATTTTGTTTTGATCTTCTGTATCAGAAGGCATAATACAATTTATTTGATTACTTTTGAAATAAACTAGGTATTGTGACCAGGGAGTCACCCTTTTTAATTAAAACAGATGCTGTAGGACAGATTGTGTACTATCTCACAGCACTATGTATACTGTGAATATTCATTACCCACAAATTTGAAAAATGAAAACACAGAACTGTTTAAAAGTGTATTTAAAGGCAGCAATCAGTGTGTGAAAACTTACACTGTGGTAAGTATATATTTATTGTACCTTAGCTAGACTACATTAGATTTTGCAATACACACACAAAATTGATTCCGAGTTTCTGAATCAGTAACCACCCACAACAAATTTGGTAGAATGTATCTGTTACATTCAAGATTAAAAGAAAACAGTAACACAGAAGGCCAAAAATGTTTATGCTTCTGAATTTTGCAAATGAACTGTGGAAGTCTTCTTTATAAGCAGCACACACGGTAAAATACCACACTTCTATCAGCATCTACCATCCACCTGAACTAATCTCTCTGTACTACTGATTATGAAACCATTTTAAACAACAGTTAAAAAAACCCAACCAAAAATCACAAATAAAATCCAACTTACTTTCAGTTTTCCTGCTGACAGTCATGCTACGTTCCAGTTCCTCTAGTATGATGTATTCTACCCTGAAATTATTCTTCCTATTGTAAAGATGTCCATTTTTGTCTTTCTCTACATTTGCAAGCCTGGAGGAAAAGGTTGCCACACTGAGTAAGACATGAATGCTTAGCAAAACCAAGATCTTCCAAGGTTAGTATCTAGCTGAGGCTGTGCCAACAGGACTGTCTTATGATAGATTTTATAGAAATCACTCATTTGTTCCTACAGTTGTTTTCAAGCAAAATCTTTCTGCAGTTATAAGTTACACACAGAAGTAACCCAAGAACTTGAACAAGAAGTAAACAAGGAAATTACCTCATTGACAGGCAGTGGTTCACACACTGAAATGGCCTGAAATTTTATCTGTATGCTACCAGGGAGCCTTATGAAAATTTCATTGGAAAGCACAGGGACAGAGACAGGCTGTATTGACACAGTTGCACACACAGATGGAGCCACAGCACAAACAAAACAAGTATATTCCCTCAACCTTAACACTAGTAATAGTACTACAGCAACTGAAGATTCAAATTCAAGTGCATTCGCATTCAAATAACTTATTAAAACTGCTACCTTACTTAGTATGCTTTATGTATAGTGTGGAGAGCTATAGGTGACTTTTGCTTTCTAAGGTCAGAAGCTTTAGAGTACATCTCAGTGGGACAGGCTTTGCCTTACTACAGCCAGACAGTATACTAGGGTTTAACCTACACAACAGCACCTGCAAAAAGGACTGCAGATACTGCGCTCCTTAGCACACCTGTGAAGTTTGGGGCCATCACATTAGATATCAGAACAGCAGGACATGGGTGGCACACAATAGAGACACATCTGGTAGGATTCCCAGTGTTAAGCAACATTACTGACAGCCCAAGAAACTCTCAGTAGCAGCTTGGTTCTTCAGCAGACTATTGCTGCTATATGGTTCAAATCCCTTTATGGTGCTTTTTACGGTTCATAGTTCAAATGCTTTGCTGTGCACTGGAATTCACAGAGCAAACCAAAGTACCAAATCTCACCACACAGTGTACTAGAAGCCTTCAGAGCACAATGACTACAAAAGAACTATGTGCTGTAGTTAAATGGGAAGCCTCTTTTGAAGCTGCTTCGAACATCTGTATCAACCAGCAGTCAATTTTTGAGCCATAACCTAGGATCCAGAATAATCAAGGATTTGTTGATTCAGTCAGACAGCATGAAACACTGCTGTGAGACTTTATTGTCACTGTTCATTCAGGGCTCACAACTACAAACTTCTGGAGCTGGGTGGCTGTGTCAGCTCTTTCTGATAAAGCTCAGCAGCTCAAGAAGAAACCTCCCTGTTCTTTCAGCTGCCAGCTTAGTTGTTACAGCACTTACTCAAGACATGGGGAAACAGATCTGCACTACTTCTGTGCCTGAGCTGTCTTGAACCCACACTTTCCTAAACAGTGGCCTAGGTATTCTAGATGAAGTGCTTTCAATGTTCTCTGAGGAAGCTATTGTGATGATGCTGCAATTCCCCTTTTGTTCATTTTAAGAGTTTTAGGTCCTTAAAGGTAAGCACAGCTGAGTAGGAAAACACAACTCAGTTATGCCACATGCACTTTCTCTTTTGCATTTCTGGTGTAGCAACATCTTACTAAAGAGGATGACTGATCGAAGTCCAAATGGTAATTAGAACGGGCATTTCGGAGCTATCCTGAACTACGGTAACAACCACAATAATCTGCCTGAGCTCCTGAAAAGGAAATCGTAGCCTAAAGGTTTCATTGCCATAAATTCTTACCTTGAACCTTATCTCCAGAACAGCATGAAAATATTACTTACAATAAAGGGTTTAACTTACTGAGTTTTTAGCTTTTCTGCAGTTCTTATGAATTCAACTTTCTTAGCTTGTTTGGCTTTCACCTTCCAATTCTGAAATTGTCGACCAGCACCTGTAGTACTGGCACAGCTGTCCTTCTGTACACAACAAAATCAAGTATTACTCAAACCCAGTATTTTTTAAATGTTCATTGGTTATTTTTAAGCAGACAACACCACAGTGCAGAATAACAGCATTACTTCAGTTTTACACTGGCACAATTCAACTAAAGTCACACAGGTATAAAATGGGAGCAATGGGTGATGGCAAGCTGATGACTGTATGCAAAAATGCATTCTTCTGCAGAAAAAAAAAGGGAAGACTGCAGCATCAGCTTGCTTTAACAGAGGCTGCTCACCATACTGCAATACTAAATCAAGGCAATTGCCTTGCCTCTCATGGTAGTCAGACTCTGACAAGTCAGAGTAACTACCTACCGAATATAAACATTTAATTTACACAAGACATGTTACTCCCATTTCATCCTGTTCAAGAAAAGCACTAACTTCTGAAATCTGCTTAATAACTCTCTTAAATTGCCAACTCTTATTCATAGTAACCCGGAACCACTGCTAAGTGACCACTGCTAAGAATGCAGATTGTGAAACCCCCTGTTCAAGTTATGAAGCAACTTGAGGCCAGCCCAGAAAACCTGCACTGCTTCCTACTGCTTTCCTTTTAACGTTTATCCCTACGCCTCCTATGGGGCTGGAGCTCCTCAGCGGCCGCTTCCCCGCAGGCCCGTTGAAAAGGACTCGCTCCCCCCGGCCGTCGGGCAAATGCGGCGGGCTGGGCGGTGGCCCCGCGGCGAGGCGAGGCGAGGCGAGGCGAGGCCTTTACCTGTTGCTGCCCTC